GCAGCCAGGTCTCCATGGGGCTGCCCCTGAGGCCACCTGTGTGTTGCCACTTGCAGGTCTGTCCCATCGGTCCCCTCTGAGAGTGTCCCAGTGCCTGGGATCACCCGCCAAAGCCAGGGACACGGGCGCTTCTGCTGGGTTTGTGTTGTGCCGTGCTTGGTACCGCGCTGGCATCAGGCGCGGAGGGTTTCCCTCGGAGATCTGAGAGATTTCCCAGCTCTTTGCCCCTGACCTCCCCCCTCCCGCTTTGCACAGCTGCTCCTGGGATAAGGTTTCCCTTACAACTCGCCCACGCCTCCGGGGTGGAAGGCGAAGCGTTGAAAGCGATGCTTTTTGTCCTGTTGACTGGATGCTTTTTGTCCTGTTGACTGTGGTTTTCAGCCCCACGTCTTTTTGAGTGTAAAACAGCGTTGGGGGATGAAGGGAAGGTTTGAAGGCAGCCCTTTGGGTGGGATTTAGCAATGCTGACTTCCCCCTCTAAGGAATATCTCACACAGGAGATGATACCAACCTTTACCCGAGGGGTTTCCAGTAACTTTGGGTGGATTTTGTTGTTTGCAATAGCAGAGTTTTTTTGTCAGGACCTGCATCCCTTTGCAGCAGTAGGCTCTGTCGAGACAGCTCTTCATTGAGGCATTGGATGAAGAAGTCTCTTGCATTGCCCCCCCAGACAAAATCAGCTTTGTTTCCAAGTGAAAAATGCATTGCTGAGATCAGGTTTTGACCTTCACTTTGAGAAAGAGCAGCAGGATCTTAACTGCTGGATTTATCTTCAAGCGTAACAGAAAGTCCTGGCTAGCGGGAGGCAGGATCATCCCAAGGGCCAGAGCAAAACTCGAGGTCCGAGGGATTTCCCTTCGTGCAGGGGAAGGTCAAAAGTACACTTGAGGACAAGTTCCCTGAGTGATCCTGCTCCTGACACGGTGGCTGAGGACGAGATGTTTCAGCAGTGACTCAGAGGAAGAAGGTAAACAAACACTTTTTATTTCAAACGCGGGATTAAATTCCTTTGTGTCTGGATCATTCAAGGTAAAGCTCCTGTAATCTCCTTGCGATC